CACCCCATCCATCCATCCCTCCTCCCCATCCTCCTCCCCATCCATCCATCACCCCATCCATCCATCACCCCATCCACCCCTCCATCCGTCCATCCATCCCTGTCCATCCATTCATCCCTCCCCATTCACCCACTCCACTCATCCCTTCCCCACCCCATCCATCCCCCGTCCATCCATCCCTCCCTTCCCACAATCACCCCCATCCCTCCCTCCCTCCATCCATCCCCCGCACACCCCGCCTCCCTCCCATCTATCCCCATCCCAACCTACCAGTTGCTTACATCCCACCCTGCCTCCAACCGTCCCATCCTCCCACCCTGCGTCTCCCCCATACCCCCTCCTGCTGCCCTATCCCAAGACTGCCAGCCTCATGGCCCCTCCTACTCTTCCCTCCCCGATTGTCCCCCCTGCCCCCCATCTCCCTCTGGGCCCGCTCACCCCGTCTTGGCGAAGTTGGTCCAGTAGGTCATGACCACGGCGCTCAGCATGACGTCGTTCTTGGAGAAGTTGCAGGGGAAGAGGTCGGTGGCGCCGATCATGGGCACCCCGAAGACGTAGGGGATTTCGTCCCCGTGGGCAGCGTCGGCCCACTCGGGACGCGTGTCGGTCTGGCAGTGGTGGTAGAAGGTGTAGAAGTAGACGGGCGACTGGTACTCGGCGTGGAGCTTGGCCGTGGCCACGGCCGGCGCCACCCACTGGTGGTCGGTGAAGAGCGCCAGCAGGGTCTTCCGCCGCATCTCCCCGTTGTCCCGGTCAGCCCAGTCCGTGTACATGAACTTGATGGTCTCCCGCAGGATGTCTTTCCCCTCCGGGTAGCCATAGAGGTTGTCCACGAAGTTGGAGATGGTGAAGTCGAAGTAACTGGCCGAAATCCCGTCTTCGTTCTCCATCGAGTCCTCCACGAATTTCAGCCCCTCGCCCTGGTTCACCCCGATCAGGATGTCGTAGTTGAGAAACTCCCCCTGCTGCATGAGGATCTCCGGGTCGTCCGGCACCACGTCCCCATCCACCACTGGCCCGAAGGCGATGTGGTAGCGGGCCGGCTGGATGTCCTGGTCGACCAGCTCCCGGTACGGCTTTCGGCGCAGGCAATCCACCGTCTCGCTGGTGTCCAGGTGGTCACAGCCCACCTTGGAGGCCAGCATGCGGGTGTATTTCAGGGGCTGGTAGTTGACCGACCAACTGGAGATGGCCGTGCCGCTCTGAGCGATGGCCTTTTGAAAGAGACCTGCCGAGAGAGAGAGAGGGTCAGAGAGAGCAAGAGGGGGAGACACTGAGCTGTGGGGATCGGAGGGTGCATGGATGGAGGTCTGTGTCTGGGGACAGATAGATAGATAGAGAGGGTAGATGGGGATAGATAGATAGAGGGGGTGGCTGGGGATAGATAGATAGCTAGCTAGCTAGCTAGATAGATAGATAGAGAGGGTGGATGGGGATGGATAGATAGATAGATAGATAGATAGATAGATAGATAGATAGATAGATAGATAGATAGAGAGGGCGGATGGGGATAGATAGATAGATAGAGAGGGCAGATGGGGATAGATAGATAGATAGATAGATAGATGGGGTGGATGGGGATAGATGGATAGATAGATATGGGACTGGCTGGCTCAGAGGGCGGAGGAATGGGGCAGGGGCCTGTCCCCTCTAGGGGGCGCCGACTTCCACATCCAGCCCCAGGGCAGGGACTGGCTGGCTCAGGGATGCAGGGAATGGGGCTCGGGGTGGGGGGAGGGGCAGCTGGTACCTTCCGAGTGGTGGGACAGGATGAGGAGGTTGACGCAGGAGGCTCCGGCGCCGGACCCGAAGATGGTGATGCGTTCGGGGTCCCCCCCAAAGTGCCCGATGTTCTCATTGAGCCACCGCAGGGCCTGGATCTGGTCCAAAAGCCCGTAGTTCCCCTTGGCTGACTGGTCCCCGGTGCTCAGGAATCCTGGCGGGGGGGGGGGGTCAGACACGGAGACTGTGGTGAGGAGCTGCTCCCCTGTGTCAGCAGCCGCCCCGCCCCAGAGGTGGGCGCATCTCAGCGCCGGGCGAGGGGTCCCCGTGTAACCAGCGCCCCGCCCCAGAGGTGGGCGCATCTCAGCGCCGGGCGAGGGGTCCCCGTGTAACCAGCGCCCCCCCCCAGAGGTGGGCGCATCTCAGCGCCGGACGAGGGGTCCCCGTGTCAGCAGCCGCCCCACCCCAGAGGTGGCTGCATCTCAGCGCCGGGCGAGGGGTCCCCGTGTCACCAGCCGCCCCGCCCCAGAGGAAAGGGACATTTCCCCCTCAATTAATGTCGCCCCGAAACAGAAATTAAAAAGTGGATAAAAAATTAATTCTCTCGCTCCCACCAGCCCCGAGGCCCCTCGTTAGCGCTAACGAGTCCTTGCCAGTCATTCTTATCAGCTCTGGGTTTCTCCCTCCCCTTCACTTTAATTAAATATTAATTCCAGCCGCCGATTTGTAAATTTCACACGCTGGGCTCAGAGATTGGTGGTGGTGGGGGGAACCAAGGACACTTTGAGGCTTCCTCTGTAGTTACCCCACCCCTGCTCTGGCTCCTGGATCCCGGCGTGTGGGGGTCTGGGATCCCAGGGGGGGAGGGGCAGCTCGGGGAGGGGCCCTTACCCAGCACCCCCAGGCGGTAGTTCATGGTGACGACGATGACGTTGCCGTAGGCGGCCAGGACGCTGGCGTCGAACATGTTCCCTGTCCCCTCCATGTAGGAGCCGCCGTGCAGGAACAGCATTACCGGCTTCTTCCCGCTGTCCCGGATATCTGGGGGCAGAGATTGGGGAGCAGAGAGAGAGAGATGGGGGGACAGAGGGATGGGGGAAGCAGAGAGAGAGATCGGGGGGACAGACAGAGATCGGGGGGACAGAGAGAGAGATTGGGGAGGAGCAGAGAGAAATTGGGGAGTCAGAGAGAGATCGGGGGGTCAGACAGAGATCGGGGGGACAGAGAGAGAGATTGGGGAGGAGCAGAGAGAAATTGGGGAGTCAGAGAGAGATCGGGGGGTCAGACAGAGATCGGGGGGACAGAGAGAG